AGAGCAACAATGTCTCTAAGGCAGCAGTCATCTGTCCTCTTCATATGCATGCAGCTCATAACTGGATTGTTGTAGCTGGATCTCTTCTCAATACACACAAGGGGGTCTCCAAGCCCCTTGGCCTGTCGTCTCCAAACGAGGGTCTTTCAAGACACAAGGGGGTCTCCTTTGACCCCTCTTGGCTCTCCTTCGACTCCAAGCGAAGGCCTCACCTGTGGACTGCCAGCAGGGACAAAACTCGCTTCACCACAGGCATATCACAAAGTGCAGGGGCATCTTCGTGAAAGTCCCTTCCTCAGGGGAGTTCACCCCTGAGTCAGAACATCTTGGGCAACATTCAGTTGAAAGCCTTTGCTTCAAGAATTCTACCAGATCTCCTGTGCTCTGTCTCAGGCTGCCACCTTGGCAGCAGTGGCGAGGGGGGGGGAAGGCCAAGGTCACCCCCCTCTGCATTCCTCTCCATCCCATTCTAGCTTCCCAGGACACTCTGAGCTTCTCAGCTCCTCTCTGCAGTGCATGTCACACTTTACCCCTCCGTTCTAGGATGTGAGGGGTCTCCAAGGAGTCTGGGGGGTCTGGTTCAGTTCTTACCCCCAAAACTCTGTCTCTCTGCTGCTCTCTCTCTCTCTCTCTCTCTCTCTCTGTCTCTCTCTCTGTCTCTCTCTCTCAACTTGCAGGAGCTCTTTCTCTGGTACTGCATGCCTTTGTTGCTGCTTGGTATTATCTCTCCTGGCTCTCTACACCTTCTCCGGCCACTGTTGCTTCTGCTGCCACTGCTGCTGCTGCTGCTCACAGTGAAGAAACATTGCCCAGCTCACAGCTACAGACACATAGTCCAGTTTAGCACTGTTCCAAGTTCCTGCAGCCCCCCCACTGGTGGCTGGGAGGCCAAAGCCCCCCCAGGGGGCTTCTGCCCTCTGCTCCTCGTGGCCTGAGAACATGGCTACCACTTCTACCACCAAACTACAACTAACCTTCTCTTCCGTTTGCTTGTGGTATGTTTACATTTTGCAGGAGCGCAGATTGGAGAAAACTTCAAAACCTCCAGGGGTTACCACCCCCTGGGGTTTTACCATTTTCTTAGCTTCAGGGGGAAAACCTGGTTCAAACCACTACACTCTAGTTAAACTAGTTTTTGTTTGCATTCCAACCCTAGGATGCTGTCTTACACACACATGGAGGGACAGTACCATTGATTCCAAGGATAGCTTGTGGTTATTAAAGATGTTAGTTTCTGTATGTGCCTGCAAGGGTGAAAGATTAGATTAAAGCTTCTGTAGATGTTGTACCTCGTCTTGCTTATATCAGTTTCATAAACCAGAGTAGCTCCATTCAAGCCAAAAGCTGCTCCCTGGAGTAAACATTGTGTGAAAACAGAGATGGTTTTTTCCCCATCGATTCTTTAGTTCTGTTTATAAAGGGTTGTGAACATCTGAGTGCAGTTGAAATTACTGATAATAATAAAAGACACCAAATTTCTGTAGGGTTATTATGAGTGTATTTTTGTGTGGATGTTGTGCCCTGTTCTGTCCTTTTTACTTAAAAGTTTGAAGATACAGGTGGCTGGGAGTTGTATCTGTTGTGTATTTAAGGGGGATTTATGTGAAGAAACCACATTTGGGGAAAAGAAGACAAATTCCAGAGAAGTTTTGACTGTATGGTAACTAGCTGTAGCTAGAAATCACTGTTGTTTCTATACCATAACGAAGAGTGGTCTGTCATCTGTGTCTTCCCCCAGTCTCCATCCACCCCAAACCCCTCCCCCTTGTTTACTACTCAAATGCGTTCATTTTTAATGTTAAAGTGTTGAAAATATGGAAAAGATAAGGCTCTGTGCCATATTTCTGAATTGTAATATATACATGGGAACTGAAGTGCTAGAGACAGTAGCTCTGTGCCAGAAGGGTACTGGCACAAGCAATTCCATTGCCTTGGCCCAGGGCTCACCACAGTAAACACTTTTTCCATATGGGACATTTACTCCCTTCTTAAGGGGAAACATTAGCACATTGTTACTCAGTCTTCATGGAGAGCAATATTGTTACGATATTACTCCTAAAATGGGCTCTGCTGACACAGAACCTTGGTTGATCACTCCTCAAATTCTCATTTACATTTTTCCCATCACCTCATTTATATACTACTGAGGGAACACTGCAAAGTCTCTACTTGAGAAATAGATTAAAAAGTAGAGGAAAAGATCATTAATGAAATGATCTGATGGCCCCAGAGATTGTTTGCCACAGCTGGCTTAATGCACCTCAGGTAGGCTGTGGTCATCAGCTGCATGAGGTCTCTGAACCTTTACTAGCATAAACTTCAGTCTAAGAAGGGGATGGCAGCAGCTAGTTAATGCACAATAAGCCATTGTATCTTGAGCTTTTGGCTTAGTACTTAATCTAAATTGACTGTGAACTTTGCAGAGAGAGTTGACCTTTAACACACATGTGATGAGAAGAAATATAACCAAGCAATGTAAAATACTATAGTTTATACTATAGTGTGTAAAATGGTATACTGTAGTGGGGTTGTTTAAAAATTTTATTTGTTTTATATTTGGTTTTGGGGCTACTGCCCTCAGTTTTGCACTGAAATATCAAATGCATTCCCAGATCAGCTGAGGGTTTCAGCCTTTCATTGGCCCTTGAGGTTTAAGTATTTGCAAAATTCCTCCTAAAATTCAGTTAACCCTGGAGCCTGTGATAAAAAGCCAACAGAAGAAAGGTATTCAGGGTGGATGTAAAGATTCTGTGAAGATAAAATTAATATATACTTTAGTAACTGCAAAGACCAATGCTGATTGGTGAAGGTAGAAATCTGTTTGGCTCTGTCATAGCACCAGTGTTTGTTGACTCAGCTTTTACTGATTTACAAGCAAAAGGTGGGTTTCTTTAATTTCATCTGATGGAGGTGGAGGACAGATTGAACTTGAGTTGTTTTAAGCATTACCCATTTTAACTTACCACAGTTGTATCTTCCACTGTCCACTGAACAGTAGTGGTGATTTATCCATATAGATGATGATTTGTGGTAAGGAAAGAAAGGTTCCTAATATAAAAGGGAAAGTCAGTGACCCAGACTAACAGGATAAGTACAACCCTGTCACATTCCTTGCCCTATCTATGGACTGCACAGGCTGAGAAAAAGTGCTGAATGCTTTCTCAATTTTTGAAAAAATTCACCCTGGTGCAGGAAATAGAGAAAAATGTCCCTGCATACCATTTGGAATGCAGATTATGCCTCTACTGACCCAGGTTAATAAAAACACCAGCATCTTGGAGGATGGAGAAATGAAAATTGCAGGTCTTTTCAGTTTGTCTTTCTCAGTTGGTCTTTCTTCTCTTGCTGACCATAGTGCAATGCTGTGGTTTGGACATTAACAAAGAGCATTAAAGCATGCAAAAGCGATATTTGTTTTATCCTGAAATTTGTTTTCTTTTCTTAATAACTTATGAGGAAAAGATTAAATATTTGTATTTACATTTGATGTGTATTACCACTGTAGTGAGAAAATTTGGAGCCTGAATTTCAGAATTGCTTGCTACCTGCAAGTCTAGGCCATGTGAATCAAAGCTGCAAGTACTTAGTTCTTCTGAATTTCAAACTTTTTTTCTTTCCATGCAAACACTGATAGCTTGATATCCTTCATGTGTCTGTATGTATGTGTGTACAAATGTGTTTGCCTCTATATAATGTATATATACATTTACAGTCTACTGAGTTCTTTTACTCTCTTCATTTTTTCTTTGTTATGAGATGGTACTGTTCTGTGCAATTAACTGATTTATTTAATATATTTTCCCCCTTCTTGTCTTCCTTTACTTTTCTTTTTCTTTTTTGATTTTGTTTTTGTTTTTAACCTCTCTTCCTGTATGTGAGCAAGGTTATGAGGGTCATGTTGAGAATGTTGGCAGCTTTGTAGTTCTCATACAATAAAATATAAACAAAAACTCATTGCTGGATTATGTTTCTTAAATTGTTTGACATGCCTTGTTGAGATGAATGAAATGTGGTTCCTTCATACTTTTGGGATGACTGTACCCTAGAAGAAATAATGGAGAGCATCTCCCTGCTGTGCAACTGGAGGTCTTCGCCCTTTTCTGACTAGCCACTCAGTGTTTTCTCTGTGACACTGTCTCTCTTTCTCCAGAATGTATGAATGGTCTTAGATTCCAGTTATGATAACTGTAGCAAATTTCGTGTTTGGCTATTTTTGCTAATTTTTACATAAATACCTGGGATATCATATTATCTTTTACTGTACTGTCACATCCAAGACCTGCAGTTCTGTGCATTGATACTGTATTTTCTTGTGATTTGTCTTTAGCCTTTATTCCTACTTGTTAGCTCATCTTCTGGACAGCCTAGAAGGATGAAATAACAAATAATAAATGTACTATGAATATTTATATTAGCCTCTATGTGTGCATGTCTGTGTTTGTTCTTAATCTGTGATACCATATTGCAATAATGTGTTGATTTGCGATGTATAGCAGTTAGTTTAATTGAACCATCCCCTTGGTATTCCCCTTGTAGAAGGTGACTCCACCATGTTAGATCCAGCATAAACATCTGAAGAAAGATTAGTCACATTTAGTGAACATTTGTTGCAATTTCTACACATTCTTTTCATTTACACCAGTTTCTGGATTTTATTTGATCCTCATTTCCATTTTTTCTGTCCATAGCATAACTCAAAGAAGATTTTTCACAGGGTTGCTAGAATGTTACAATAAATATGAACCTTTGAGAGACAAACTTGTGTATTTGAATGCAGGCATAATATCTTGTTTGTTACATTTTCTTTGTTCACTTACTTTACAGTTTTCAACTAATTTGTTATCACTAAAAATAGGTCAGTGAAATAGTTCCACATGAGGATCACAGGGTTTTCTTACCGTTCCAAAAGTCAGAACCAGGAGTCAGGAGCTGTTCATTCCCAGTATGGCATATGTGAAAGTTGACTGGAGTTAAACCAGTGTAACTGTTTCTGCCTACAGTGTTGATGACAGAACTGCCTACCTGGCCCTGGGAGCAGTGAGGAACATCTCGCTTAACATTTTCATCTCTAACATTGGGGATGATGCCTATGACACCAATGTTTTCTTCAATTTTTCTGGGGAACTCTTCTTCATCAAAATGTGGCAAAAGGTAAGAAAGGCCAGTCTCACTGTGAACAATTCTTTTAACTTTAAGCCAATTTAATTACAAGATGTACGTACAGGGGGTGGCCTGGTGCACACTGTTGAGTCATTTGGAGGTTGATTTTGGTTATGCTGGACTTGAATTTCTTTCAGGCTATTTAATGAGATTTTTTCTTGTATGGTTTGATGTGTGTAGATTACACCCTTTGTATTTCTGTATAAGACACATACCTGTTATTTGTGGTGCACTAATGAAAGACAGTTTGTTTGAGGTATTAAGAGGTGGAGGGAGACTGGTTTGGAAACTGCTAAGATGTCAAATGGCACTGAAATACAAAGGGTACCTCTAGTTTGAGTGATACCACACTGCACTCAGCAGTCCTGGTCGTCTCCTGAACTGGACTCCTAGACTTACTCCTTGTTGAAACCAAGATACAAACCTGTTCTTTGCTCATGTCCTGGTGCAAGTTTGGGCTGCGGCCAGGGCACACCACTAAATCGGAGGTCAAGAGTGCTTTTAATTTCACCCACATGGAATGAAGTGATTTTGAGTTTTAGTCTGTTTTCATTTAGATTGAAATACTTGGATGTTTTCATTAGCAGAAGTTCGTTATAAGATAACGGTGTTGTAATACAAGCTTTTTGCAAAAAACTGCTGGCTGTGATAGCTGTCTGAGTAGGAATAATGTGAAAATAATTGTGCAAAATGGGAGCTGTACATTCTGTCTGTTTGTTCCTGCTTTTCACAGTCATTTGTTTCTTTGCTGGAGCTTTGTTTAGCTGTGCAAAACACAATAAGAGCAATATTTAAAACAGCAATACAACTGTTGCGAACTGTAGGATTTATTTGGTCTATTGAACCAATGAAATTGTGCCATTATTTGTCCTGTTTTATTATAGGTGTAAATTATTATAAACCTCTTAACTCATTGTATAATAAAAAACCCCATATAATTTCTTATACATGTTAATTCTTTTAGTGTTCAATTTTGACTACACAGTTGCAAGCCTCAGAGAATTATCTTTTTATTATGAGCTTCATTTTCAGACATTATGTGCTGCAAGTGTGCAATTTATCAGGAGGAAAAAGGCAGGGGATAAAACAGAAATGCCTTATGCCAATGCACAACTTCTCCTTAATGGAAATTTTATATGAAGATTTTCAGGGTCTGGCCCAGCTCCTGCTGAAGTCAGTGGGAGAGTTTCCATTCCTTTGCACTGGAAAAAAACCAAAGCTTGACGCATGCTCTTTTAAAAGATTGCTGTAGTCATTTTTTTTTCTTCTGTGCTTACATTTTAAATATTTTACACACACTGATTAACTGGAACACAGTTCCAGTTGTATGGATGAATACAGTCATGTAAGATGTACTTTCTGTAGAGTTTTAGAAGGCAGCTTATGCTATGGCAAAGCCTGTTTATAGTGAATCCTGACCTACCTGGTGGTGTACCACCCAAGGTGGTATTTCACCATGGCTGGGCACCAGCAGAGGTCCTGGCTTCTGTCCAGGTGGGAAGAGAAAAGGAAATCCAAAGTCCTGAACTTATGATACTTCTTCAAGGGGTGTAGAAGGACTCCCTGAGCCACAGGCAGCAGTTGCCCATTCTGTTTCAGTCCCTGCATGACCCACCAGGCAAGCTGCTTCTCTCTGCAGATTTTCAGGAGCTGCACAGAGCTGGGAGCCACTGCCATGGTTGCAGTAGTGCCAAGTAATGGGAGAGGGCTTTGGAAAAGGGATTCATCTGCCTCTGTTGCTGAGATCCAACCACCGCAATCTAGGCTGTTATCTTGATAAACTGCATTACTAGAAGAAAGGTAAAAACCCTTCACAGAGGGTAGAGCCCAGTATACAGTGAGCTCAATACACTTGATCTTGGATGTACTTAATTGAAGGTTATGCTGTCCCTATGGAAAAATCACCAGTGCCTTTCCTGTGTCCCAGTGTCTCTCTCCATTATCAAGTTTTGCACTTAAACTCAGTGGATAGAGACTTGCCAATGTTTGAGGTGAGAAATCTGTGGGAGAGGGTTCGTCTCCTGTGTTCTTAGGATGAAACTTAAAATTGTCCAACCTTTGATATCTTCTACAAAAGACTTAAATAAGAATTTATTTGCACAGCTTTCGGTGGCTTTCGTTGCAACAAGAAACGGGGATTTGTTTTTGTTGTAACTTGAAGCTTAAAGTTTATTGAGTTTCTGGTATGAAAGGTCAGTTCCCTTTTCAGAAGTTTCTTTTAGTGACTTTTAAAACAGGCAGCTGTCAGAAGATAAATGACACCCTGAGAGGAAAATCCAATAGAATTTTAAACAAATATATATATCTTCATAGTATATATAAACATATATATTATATATGTGTGTGTATATATGTATGTATTTGCATTGCTTAGTCCTGTGGGATGTTATAGTCATAGTGCTCTGTGGCTGGAAATAGTGCCAATTGCTCTCTTTCACCTGGTTGTTTGGATTTCTCCTGTGAACCTGATAAGATAAAAACAAAACCCTCTTTAATTAATCTTATTAAGCACAAAACATGGTCCTGTAGGCATACTTAAGTTGTAGCCTCTCTGAAGTCAACCACAGTTTTGCTATAGAAAGACTTAAAAAAACCAGCTGCACAGCCAAAAACATGAGTGTTTAGCTCATGTGAAGAGTGTTTAGCTGAAAATCCGAGGGGGGGACAGAGCTTCTTAAGAAATCACAAGCTTTCCTTTCCCTGGGTTTAACATTAGTCTGTGTTCCTTTTAGCAGAAGCAGGTGCATTAAACCCTGTCTGAAGAAGGCCCCAAATCTGGTTTTTGTGAGAGAGCTTCCTGTGGCATTTCATCAAAACCAGAGGTATTGAGCATAGCAGGGAGGACGAGTGAGAAGCATTTCAACTGGCTTCATTGCAGGCTCTGAGGACAAGCAGGGGGCCTTCTCTTCATTGCAACTCCCCACCCAGTCAGGCTGCAGGGGATGCCGAGCCCGGCGCATTCCCAGCCAGCAGCGCTTTTGCAGCCTGCGTTTGGGAGGAGGCCAGAAAACTTGCACTTGACTTTTGGCCATAACAATCTGCAGAAACAGTGCTTTCCACTGAGCAAGGGAAAAGGAGGAGTGAACTAAAAAGCTGCTCTATAAAGTAGTGTGGCACCTCTTAAAGCCTTACAGTGGATTGCTAAGCTTGCCTTTTAAAAACAGGATATATATATGTTAAATAAACCTGTTTCAATATCCCAGTGCTGTAGGTAATGGATTACACCTCTGCATTTCTGCATTGTTCCTGGGTTACAGGGTATTTATGATCTGATAAGGTTTTTCCAGGAAAATATCCTAATGCACACTGTGTTTGAGTTTCTGAAAGACCAAAACCCCCAAACCTGTGTGTGTTTGTAAAAGGCATTTCCTGGGGTTTCAGATTTGGCTTTGGTTGTTGGGAATTGTATGTTGAGCTAAGGTTTTTTAATTCCAGGAAAATACCCAGTGCCAAGCTCATTATTATTGTTGTTACTTAATGTTATTATTTACACTTGAAAATTACTAACAGGGAAGGACGGAAGAGCAGGAGGGCAGGGTAAGGCTGGATTTTATTGATTGTGTTTTCTCATCCAGTTTGGTTTTAATTGTGAGTTTGGGTTTTTTTTCAATTATTTGTGAGGTTTTTAGTTTACTTTTTCATCAAACTATGTGTAGTTGATGACACTTGAATTTATTTTCTGAATTTGTTTTGAATTTACGCATTTCTTAATTTATATTATCTTGTAACAGTAAGATCAAATAGCTGTGTTGCAGTTGAATACACCAATATTTATTATAATTGAAGCCTTATACACAAAAGATTGTCTTACAGTATATGTGGGCATATATTATCCAAAAGATAAGTGCCACTTATCTTTTGTTTCTGCTTTTAGTTTTTGGTGTTTTGAAGATATGTTTTTGTTGTAGAATAAAAATGCATATAACTATATTGGGTTTGTGTAGCAAGGTTCTGGTAGTAGGTGGGGCTATAGGAGTGGCTTCTGTCAGAATCTGTTGGAAAGCTTCCCCCATTTTCTCATAGAGCGAATGCCAGCTGGCTCCAAGACAGACCCACTGCTGGCCAAGGCTGAGTCAGTCAGAGGTGGTAGTAACACCTCTGTATTAATGTATTTAAGAAAGAAAAAAAGTTATTGTGCAAATGTAGTTGTGGCCAGAGAAGAGAGGTGCAAGAATATGTGAGGGAAACAACTATGCAGACACCAAGGTCAGCAAAGAAGGAAGGGGAGGAGGTGATCCAGGCAGCAGAGCTGAGATTCCCCTGTAGCCCATGATGAACATGGTGAAGGACGTTGTCCTCCTGCAGCTCGTGGAGGTCCAGGGGGGTGCAGAGATCCACCTATAGCCCGTAGAGGAGCCCCACGTCAGAGCAGGTGGATGCCCAAAAGAAGTCTGTGAACTCATGGGAAGTCCGTGCTGGGGCAGGCTCCTGGCAGGGACCTGCAGACTCATGGAGAAAGGAGCCCATGCTAGAGCACCTTTCCTGGTAGGACTTGTGACCCTCTTGGGGACCTACACTGGAGCAGCCTGTTCTTGAAGGAAGGGACTCCTATGGAAGGTATCTACACTGGAGCAGTTCATGAAGAACTGTCTCCTGTTGGAGGGATCTCATACTGGAGCAGAAGAAGGACTCCTCTACCTGAAGAGGACAGAACAGCAGAAACAATGTGATGAACTGACTGTAACCCCCATTTTCTGTCTCCCTGTGCCTCTCCAGGAGAAGGAGGTAGAGCCCAGGAAGGAGGGAGGGGTGGGGGAAAGGTTTTGTTAAAATTTGTTTCACTTCTCATTATCCTGCTCTGATTTTGATTGGTAATAAATTCAGTTAATTTCCCCGAGTTGAGTCTGTTTTTCCTGTGATGATAATCAATGAGTGATCTCTCCTTGTCCTTATCTCATGGACCTTACATTATATTTTCTCTCCCCTGTCCAGTTGAGAAGGGCAGTGATAGAGTGGCTTTGGTGGGCAACTGTCATTCAGCCAGGGTCAAA